ATATCATATGTTGAACAAGGGCATGGTTTGAGCCACCCTTCAAGTTCAACTGCTTTCTCGTCTTGGCAAATCGACTATTAAAATAGATGCAACTTCATCTATAGCGTGGCCACGCGTTTTCATAGTCCGACTTCCACGAGAGGGACCAGCGATATCTCTCTTATTAAGGAGGTGACAAGTCCCATATTGCATGTCTACTATCTCCATATGATTCGTGAACGTATCTGATCAATGCCGTTATAATCATCCGGTTAAAGACGACGTTTGACGCAGTCAAGACACGTCACTCCTCATATCAGATACTCTAGACATCTCAGGTATGAGGATCCATAAACGAACCGCTGTATGAGATTCAAGTCATGACTATGTCCATGTGACAATCTCATGCGGGTCATCCAGTCACTCGTTCACAACGAGTACCCATGATTGTGATCTACATCCAACGCGTTGATCACACCTCATGCTAGTTTTCATTCAACATTGTTCCCACAATGATGACTGACTAGGGAGTTTAGAATCATTCTCTAATGATTCAAGGATGCCGAAATACAACAAACATGCTAATCGTATAACGGATAAATAATGCATTCATAAATCAATGAATCAATACAAAGTCAAATGTCATATCATGGATCATCCTAGAGCATTACAACCATCAACGCAATCTCGCAATCATCGTGCAATCATTCACAAACGCTCGTTTCTACAATTACGCGCTAAACGTTAATCCGAACCCTTCCGAATTAATGTTAGTGTCATGCCAGCTACCCCTGTCACATGCATTTATATAGTTTATTTACTATACATGCATTTCCGCTTGCGTAGTCTTTTATATTTATTTTTATATTTTCTTTGAGTATCTCCATTCATACTACCGTATTGTACATCCGGTACGACCTACCTGGTCCCGGTTCGCCCGAAAAAACCAGTTTGGTTCATTCCGTGGTTTTTAACTTTATCTGTTACTCATTTTGGGTCCACACTACGTGGGGTCCGATCTGGTCCGTATTTCCGGTATATTTTATATTTTTCACTTTTTCACAATTTGAGCTGGGGTAATATTAGGTCCGTCTTATCAAGTTTTTCAATTTTCCACATGGTGAGATTCCGTTACTCTTTTTTTTTCAGACCGATCGGTCTAGGGACTAGATCGATCGGTCCAGTGGTTTGGAACGGACGTTCCGTCTCGTCCAGGCCGGACGGTCTGGTAGTGCAGAACGGACGTTCCGGACTGTCCAGAACGGACGTTCCGGACTGTCCAGAACGGACGGTCTGGACTTCATCTTCAACCTCTGGACTTCGCCTTTTCTCCTGCAGACCTAGAACGAACGGTCTGACCTCAGACCGGACGTTCTGGTCCTCGGATCTCATAAAAAACACTCAAACATGCACGATTCACTATGGGTAATTCATCAAAACTCATATAATTTCATGGAGAACACGAATCAAACATCAACTTTGCACGAAATCACTCAAAACCCAAAACCCCATGTCAACAGACTTCCGAATTAAACTCGAATTCACTCACCTCGGGTTAACCTCGTGCGTTGGGTGATGGATGGAAAGTTCGGTGATGATCTTCTTGCTCTGTAGAGACCGAATTGAGGCGTTAATCTCTCGAATTTAGGATGGAAAATTTCGGATTTTGCAGAGAGAGGTGAAGGTAGAGAGGAGATGAAGAACTGAAGCGCGAGAGTGGTTAAAACGGCATGGTTTCGACAGAAATCGGACCCAAGGGTCAAAAGTTTGGTTTTCTGGCCGAGGTTAGTGCGCAGGGGTCGTTTTCAGGTCGGTCCGGACGAAAGCCGCGACTTTGGTCGCTGTCGAAAGTCCGGTCCGTCCATTCCGAGACTGTCTGGAATGGACGTTCCGCTCCTGTGTGGTCCGTCCGTTCTGGCTTTCCGGAACGGACGGTCCGGGGGTTTTTTTTTTTGAAAAACTGGGTTGTTACACTTTCGATGGAGAATCTGATAACGTCTTTCTCCACCGTTAAACTCTGGCGCTGTCCACGGAGGTCGCCGTCGGCAGTTAACGTCAACGGTTTTGGAGTAATTGATAATGGTTTTTGAGTGAGCGAAAATGAATGGACATATCGCCACTTTATCATATATTCATAATAATACCAATTTAATTCTCTTAAATTAATAATTTTACCATTCAACTATTGAACGGAAACATATTTGTATAACGTACAATTCAATGAGAAAAGCAAGACGCAAGGGACGTTTTTCTTTTTAATTTTTAACCCCACTAAATATTGACTACGCAAGTTTCGTGTATGTATATAATAAATATGATCTTTTTATTACTCCACTACATTTCATAGTTTAATAGCATGCTTATTACTCCACTGTGCGTTTGAGTTGGCGTTATTATTTCTTGAATTAATAATCGAGTAGTGGAGAATCGTTACACGCGGACGAGAGTTAATAAGATGATGTATCATGGTTATGTGGGTTGGTATAGGTGTGAAATAAATGGAATTATTTTGTTTTGTTATTTTAATACCATAAAATTTGACATTTAATTATATTCGTAATTTTTGAAAACGTGGCTTTTTAGCCACTTAGCATCAAATCATATCTCCTACGGTTTTGGAATATAAAACCAAATAATATATCAACACCATCATTAACTACCGTTACAAAAATAAAAATGGGATAAATAAAAAACGACATTACTAAAAAAACGACAATTTGTTTATATATATACATTTTATATCTATTCATACAACTTTTGAACTTGGATTTTAATATATTTTTATAGAAGTTTTTGAAAAAACTCTATTAAAAAACACATTAGAATTGGTTTATTTTGGATAATATGTATCAAATAATATATTAAAAAAATAGTGGGTTATTCATAAACTTTTATATTATATGCATAACCTAATTTTCTATAAAATCTAATTTTGTGTGTAATAATTAATGGTAGACCAATCAATTTATATATAACTAATATAATTAATAAAGATTTTATAATAAATTTAGTTAACCAATGAAAAACTTGCTATATAGATGATGAGGTGGATGTTTAGGTGGCTTCACCACATACTTTTAAACTCCTTTATTAATATATATAGATTTGAATTTTGGAATAAATGAATTTCATTGTCTGCTTACACGATCAATTATGGTATTTTGTGATAACATTAGTGTTGTTTACATGTCGGCCAATCCGATATAGCACCAACGAATAAAGCACATCGAGATTGATATTCATTTCGTTCGTGAGAAGGTTGCATTTAGCTTTTTGGTGTTCTTCATATCCCATCATCTTCACAATATGTCAACATCTTCACTAAAGATTTACCCACGTCTCTGTTTCTGGAATTTCGCTTCAGTCTGAGCGTTCATCTTCTTTCGCTCCAACTGCGAGGTGTGATAGCAAATATTATAGAAAAATTTGTTAAGATTTCCTTTTATATATTCCTTAACCTAGTAGTTTTCACGTGTATATATCTATTGCATCATTAATATAACAAAATCTTAAGAGAAATTATACCAAGTTACATGGTGATCTCAACTATTCATGTGCACTCTAAAGATATAAAACACAAATTCTTTGAAAATATTGTTTTCTTATTTTACAGAGAAAAATAACTGAAAATTTCTGAACTTGTAATTTGGTGTAATATTAATTCATGAACTTTTAGATGTGCCTATTTATTCTCGAATTTGTATTTTTTAATACAGTAATTCTTAAACTTGCTTAAGAGTTCTATAATCGTTCATACCACTAATTGATCAAAGCAAAATTTAGAAATTATTATATTAAAAAAAATACAAGTTTAGGAATTAATGTGTTAAAAATGCAAGTTCAATAATTACTGTGTTAAAAAATATAAGTTCAGAAATAAATAAACGTATCCATTTACAAGTTTAGAAATTAATATTATACCAAATTATAAATTCAGAAATTTTCAGATATTTTTTCCTATTTTATAATAAAAAAGTTTGAATTCTTTGTCAAACATCCTCCTACAATCTTGTTCACATATAAAAACCTTTTTTAGTCATGAAAATATAGACAAAGGAACATAAAAAAAAACTTTTCTAGTCATGAAAATATAGACAAGGGATTCAACGAATATGTAAATTTATACATGATGATGCGTTTATGTTTGTATAATAAAGCCCAGCTTTGCTTAAGGTCCATGCATAAGCCTGAGACGGGCCTATCTATATTCGCGGGGAGCATAGCGTCATTTCAGGTCAAGGCCCCATTCCAGTCAAAACGGTGTCGCTGCATCTTTCTAGATTCTTCTTCTCCACGACCACGAGCATTTTTTTTTCCAAACTCTTAAGAGGAAAAAGAATCACGCGCTCTGCTTCGATATCGAAATCGAAATCGTGCGCTTCGGTGATTGATTTTGCCTTCGTTTCCGACTCTGTCTTCGGCTTGGATTCTGTTTCGAAAACCCTACCAGATCTGTAGTTGTTCGGTTTCAGGCCATTTTCACCCGGGGAATTTTGCTTCTGAAAAGAGGTTCGTTGTTGTCGCTGCTGCGTCGATGTGATCGTTTGTTCAAAGTTGATTTGTAGTTTTGGAAACATTTGGTGGTGATAGCGTATTTGTGTAGGAGTAGATTGAATCTTGATCTTAGTTTGTGTCTCTATTTTCAAGTTGGCTGATTTGTTGATGCGTTGTCTTGTTTGCGGGTATTGTCAGTTGTTCTGGTTTTAAAGGGGAGTAGTGGGGTTCGTTTTTGTTTCAGTTGGCTGAATTTATACTCTCATTCAATTTCTCGAACTGCATGTGGTGCTGATTCTTACGATGCGTGAAAGCATCAAACAAATTGCGATAATGTTTACTTGGAGACTTTGTTAGGCTGCTGTTTGCTCGCTATCAGCTTCTGCAATATCATTTTTATCTCGTAAGATGTGGCTTTGCCAATAGAAGAAAAAAAAGTATGCTTGTTTGTTTTGTAGATCATCCCTATCTAGTGTCTGGTATCCTATCAGATTTATTTGGGGCAAATATGACTGATTCTGAACTTTTGTTTTTCAATTTGTAGGATTCAGATACTGTGGAATTGCCATAATGGCTGATCAAGCGGTCAATCAAGGAACGTGTAGTAGCAATGCTTCGGAGGACAACCCTGATTCAACCCTTGAGCTTAACATCAAGACTCTAGACTCTCAGACTTATACTTTCAAAGCGAACAAGAATGTGAGGGACAATCTTCATTTTATTCTTATAGAATTCTTGTCATAGTAGTCTTATATTGTCGAATGTGCCTTCAAAATACCTTTTATGAGTTTATTGCGCTTATATGTGATATTGTTTTGGTTTACCCGCTTCAGATGCTAGTTTCATTGTTCAAGGAAAAAATAGCGAATGAGGTAGGTGTGCCAGTTGGTCAGCAACGACTCATTTTCCGAGGAAGGGTGTTGAAAGATGATCATCCACTTTCTGAATATCGTATCCTTCTAATTGTTATTTTTTTTCATTTTGGGATGGTAGTTTTTTTGTTGCATTCTAGTGGATGGTTGTGTTACTCCATGTGCCCTGTGCAGCGAGGTTAGGTTCTATAAAAAATGGGAATAATTGAGCTTATCTATTCGTTACAGTGTTCCCTTAAAGATTCTTATAGTTCTGAAAAATTTGCTCCATTTGGTAAATATTGGGTGTCGTACCCCTAATGTGCTCTTGTATAGTCCTCGCTATTGCTCCTTTACTTCCATATTGCAAATCACTTTACAATTTTTAGATTTGGAAAACGGGCATACATTGCATTTGGTGGTGAGGCAGTTGACAGAAACTCAACCCTCATTTGGTGCTAGTTCTGGGGAAACAACTACATATGATGGTAATCAGGGTACTGATGGCCCCATATTTTGCTATGACTTATTGAAGGTGCTTTTAGCACAAAAGATTTTGTGTGTCCAGAAAATGAGTGACATCCTTTTGTTTAATTGGACAGGAAATGATACTAATGGTGGGGCACCCCGAAATCGTGTTGGACAAATTTCGCACAGTGTTGTTCTCGGGACCTTTAACGTTGGAGATCAGGGTGGACCAGTTGTTCCAGATATCAGTCAGGTACCTTTAGGCTTGTTTGGATGTTAGGTGTTTCCTGTTGGGTATTTTTCTTGCCCAGTTATTTGTTTTTAGGGTCTTGAACGATGAGAGAAACAGACTGCAAGAAATTACATGACTGACTGTGTTTGCTTTTGTATTGAGTAGGTCATTGGAGCTGTTCTAAATTCTCTTGGAATCGGCAACCAGCCTACAAATACTAGTAATGGGACACAGTCCTCTCTTTTTGTTAGTACTTTTTCCTCAACCTCTCTCTTCATATAATTAGTGTCTGCTGATCCTTTGCTTGCCATTTTGAGCTATCCCCTTACATTATGGTAATCTTTTTTATTTTTTAGCAAAGTTGCTCTTTGGAGCCTCAGTTTAAATTGGTGCTTCCTAAATAAAATGTTAGCAGCCGATTCTTACTTGTGTTTAGGTTTTGTTGGTAATGTCATTTGCTATGGTTTGTATCTTGACACTTATTGGAGGAGTACAATTCTTTTTTTTCCCCAGTCAAATGTGTATGGTCAGGCTCCTCCGACAAGTGTGTCCCAACCTGTTGGCAGCAATGTTCTTCAGAGCCAGGATGGGAATAGTTCACAGTCTGGGCAATCATTTTCTGGACACCCGTTTCAATCATCACCACAGGTTGTTCATATACCTGTAACAGCAGCAACAGCAATTCCTATTCCTTCAATTCATGCGGTAATTAATAGTTATTTCATTTTTTGTTTTTTTAAGACCACCTTTGGTTATATTGAAGTCTTAATTTGTATTGTTTCAGCCTATTCCCGATTCCCTGGAAACTCTTTTGGAGTTCATCAATCGAATGGTGCAGGCCTTATCACAAAATGGTAATGGTGTACGAAATAGAATCTAATGATAGATGGGAAATGAATTATCGAGTTGATTGGTTATAAACCTCGCAGGCTATCAGCCAGATACTTCTGCAGCTAACTCTGGTGATCAGCCAAGGACAGAACTACCTAGAAACAGACGAGGTCCATCTACACCTGAAGCACTGTCTGTAGTCCTGAGGAATGCCCAACATTTACTCAACGATCAAGCTATTGCAGCTTTATCTGTAAGGACTTCCTCAGTCTATATTTTATTTCTAAAGAACTGGCTTTCAGAGTCCGAACTGTGTTAGTAGATTGTGATGGATTATGTTTGGATTTCATTCTTCCCGAAGAAGCTTAATCTGTAGGATACATGTTTAGTACGCCTTGCCATCTGATCCTATGGTGTTTGTGATTTGCCCAACACTGTAGCATATTGCTGGACGTCTGGAGCGGGAGGGAGCCTCTTCAGATTCTGCACTTAGGGGACAAATTCAGACAGAGGCAACACAAGTAGGCCTTGCAATGCAACACTTAGGTGCCCTTCTGCTAGAGCTTGGTCGCACTATTCTGACATTGCGAATGGGAGAGTCTCCGGTGGGTTCTGAGGCCATTCTCTGTGTCAACGTTTTCTTTTTTTTTTGACATCCTTCTCACAATTGTGAATGATCTACAGGCGGAATCTTATCTGAATGCTGGGCCTGCTGTTTATATATCTCCGACAGGACCCAATCCGATAATGGTTCAGGTATCTTTCTTTGTTTCTATCTTTTTTTCTTTTGTCACTCTTCCTCACTATTCCTGAAATTCCCTTTCGTTTTTTTACAGCCCTTTCCTCTTCAAACCAACTCGCTTTTCAGTGGCACGACTGCCCAATCAACCCCTGTGACCGTGGGATCTCTTGGTATAGGAACTGCCCCAAGACACATCAACATTCATATTCATGCTGGTGGGTTGAGTTCTCTATTTTTAAGGCAGCTATATATTTTTTTCCACTGAGTTGACGCTCTCAGTTTCAGGCACATCGCTTTCGCCGATGGTGTCAGCAGTCGGAAACCGACAAAGCACTGGAGATGAAGGACAAGGGGCCCCTGAGAACAGTACCGGTTCAGCTGCCACAGGTTCTGTTCGGGTTCTCCCAGTGAGAAATGTTGTTGCAGCTGCTGTTCCTCCACGTCCTACCAGCGGCATTGCTGTTTCTACTGCACCACAAACCCGTTTAGCTAATTTGCAGGCACCTGATTCCAGTTCTATATCTTCTATTGTTTCAGAAATTAATTCACGGCTCAGAGATGCTGTAAACAATAGGCAAGCAAGAAACCCTGGTGCACCTGGTGGGTTTTCTCCTGATTATTCTTTGATGAGATCATAATATGAAATGTTTCTGAAGCTTTTCTTTCTGTGGCTAATAGGAACAGAATCTTCAGAAGTTCATGTGCCCGGCGACCTTGATGTTGTCAACAACTCTGCAGCTACTGGCACCGCAGAGGAACTTAGTGGCTCACCACCAGAGAGGAGCGAGTTGACTGTAAGTATTTTCGACACATTGACGAGGAGTCTTTGTATCTTATTTAGCAAACGTTCTGCCTATTGCTGACATATGAATTTGGCCAGCCTCAAAGCGAATGCAAGAAAGAAGGTGGCACTGAAGCTTTGGGGCGTCCAACGAGTTCTAAAGGAGAACCCATGAGCAATAATGCAGGTAATTCTGAGGATGTTAAATCCTCCAAGGACAAGGCTAATTCAGGACCACCTGCCTCATCAATTCCTCTTGGTTTGGGGCTTGGCAGTTTGGAACGCAAGGTAATAAATAAGTGGATTTTACAAGTCAGCTTTTGCGCCTTCCTCTGTTTTATGTTATCTTTTTGTTTTAGAAACGGAGCAAGCAGCCCAAACCATCGGTTAAGGACGAAGATACCAATCCTGGTAGCAGTGTCCAACAGCCTTTAAAATCTCTCTTTTCCGGCAGTTCTTCCTCGGAAGGTTCAGACAATCCTGTGGATGTTTCAACTGCATTGGACGGATTGCTAGGAGGGATATCACGCCAGACTGGTGTCGGTTCTCCAAATATCTTGAGAAACATGATGCAGCAGTTGACCTCGAACCCACAGATAATGAACACGGTCCAACAAATCGCCCGGCAGGTGGATGGCCGAGAGATTGAGAACATTATGTCTGGTGAAGCTCAAGGCCTCGATTTCTCTAGAATCGTTCAGCAGATGATGCCTCTAGTTTCCCGCGCTTTTAGCCAAGGTGGTCCGACTCAGCCTGCATCATCTCCACCACCACGTAGTGAGATGACCGGCCTTGCGGAAAATCCCAATGATGAACAAATGTTTCAGGTACACACGCTAAGAAACCACAATATTGTTACTAAAGCAGCCAATTTGGTTAATAACCGTATAACATGGTAATTGAACCGAATCTGACACAGACACACGGACTGAATGTTTATGATTTTCCTAAAACCGAAAGAATCGAGTCTGAACTGAACCGGAAAACCATGAATTGAGTATTTTTATTTATATAAACTGAACCTAACTCAGAATTGAATTGGATCTAACTGACCCGAAATCGATAAAGACAGAGTGGTTATAATGTTTCCAGAATGGTTATAATGTTTCCAAAAGCGAAATAATCGAACCAAATTCAGATAAGCCACTCCTAATTGTTACGTTTATTTTGCAGTCTCATTGACTTGGCTCCGGACTATATTATGGATTCACTGTACTATTTGCCTTTTGCCCACCAGGTAAATGTTGATCCCGTGGCGCAAGTGATCGAACAATCCAATTCACCAGGGGATGTTTTCCGTACAATTGTAGAAAGTGCGGTGCAGATTCCCGTTGGCGACAGTACCCACGAAGACATGATGAACGAGCTCTGTGGCGACGAAGGTCTTGCTCATGTAAGTATAAAAGACACTTGAACTCGCTCCTTAAATCTGGAAAAAAAAAACACCATTTTTTTCAATTTGCATAGGATGAAACTTCTAAAACATTTGCGATTGATATCTCAAATAGGAATCGAATCCACAGTCGAATCGAAATGTCATATTGGTCGGAAATTCCTCCAGTTATTGATGATTTTTTTTAATTGCAGGAATATGCGGAACTGCTTCGGCGTGATATTCAAAGCCGATTTCAAGGTGATTTAGGTCCGCAAGGAAACACTTAAAAAAGCTTCCTTTTCTCACCGGGCGAATCCAGTATACCTTTTTTTGGTGATAAGCTTCTGACAATATTGTGGGCTGTGTGCAAGAATTAGGGTTGGGGAATTCGATTATATTAAAATCCATGAAGTGAACGGGGAAGAAAAGTTCGAATTCGGGATTTTCTTTCTTTTAGATCGGAACACATGCTATATCTTGAACAAAGCTAAAGCTTTAGTTTTCATACATCAGCTAATTCCAAATCAACTCGAGTTCGGTTTTGGTGAAAATTTATATAGCTAGGGATGTTCGGTTTCGGTGAAAATTTATATAGCTAGAGGTGTTAAACGAGCTGGTTTATTTTGGCTCCGGCTAGAGGTGTTAAACGAGCTGGTTTATTTTGACACCAAAAAAAAGTAAATTTTTTTTTATAAATTTTATACCACGTTTAAAAAGTTCGAAATATCTTTTTTTTCATATTTTTTACGATTTTTATTGCAACTATTATGTAACTAGTATAGACTAAAAAAAAGTATTTATGATCGTATAACAAGTGAAGATTTAAAAAAAACAGTTATTTTTTAAATTTGAAAGATTCATTTTTTGCTACCTCATTTAGAATCAATTATAACTTTATTTAAAATTAATTATGATATCGCAATTATAATTCTTTTTTGAATGAATAAATTATACAGTTTTATTAAGGATAACATGATCTTTTCGAAGATAATTTAATATGTTATGTTTTTTGTGGTGTACCTGTGAAATTAGTGCGACCCAATTGAATCATTTGAGTAAAATGCCCTCAGCTCCGAGTTAAACTCGAATTTTACTTAATAAATTGTGAATCCATCTGCAACATTACACACATAACACGTGCACATACACTGTTAACATATAAAAACGGTTTTCAATTTTTAAGAGCAAAACTGAAAACTTAAACTTGATACTATATGCTAAGCTGTCTCGACATGAGATTCCTAAAGAAAACCTAATACTATATGCTAAACCTAGTATATACACTGTTACACATACACGTAAACTAATCAAAGAAAATTCGTCTAACTTCAACAAAAACTCACCAATCAATTTTTATCTACTCATAGCTTTGCAATACAAACTGAAAATGAGGAAAAATCCTAGATCTAGAAACAAATAAAATAAAATCCTTCAATTTCTTTAAAAGCTCAACAAGATCACAATTTTTCTTCTTTCCCGGAAGCCATTTTCACCTGGAAGAAAGAAGCCAAACATCTATTTGGGTTTCGGAACAATTAGGGACGACTGGTTGCACCGCCGCTACCCGCAAACGGAGCGGTTGCGATTTCCGGTGGTTGCAGGTTATTGAAAAACTGACTGGTTGAACCGCAACCATCCACAACCGCAGCTTCTATCTTGCGTTTTGGTAGTAGTTTCTGGCATTTTGACAAAAAAGCTAAAATATCTTCATTAAAAATTATATAAAACTCTAATATATATATTTATGATGATTTTGTTTAGTGTATGATTTGTTATTATTTTTTAGTATTATATTTTAATAAAAAATATATAATAGTATACTTTTTAGATTTAATAATGATTATTTTTAATAATTTTTATAATAAAATTATTTTTTTACTTAAAAATAAATTAAATTGATAATAT